TGGGGTAATAAAGCTTTCTAGCTTTTATCTTAATTTTACTATTTTTCTTTATAAAAGAGCTATACCTGTAAGGAAGAACCAAGGTACTAATTTTCAGAGTCTTTGCTTCTTTTCTATTTTTATTTGGATCTAGAAGTGAGCAAATACATTTTAAGAACTTACAAACTCAAATTCATAACTGCTAGAAATACAGAGAATACTCCTTTAAATGACAAATCTTCATAACCAGTTACTAATAAATAATCATCATCACAACAGCTTCAGTAAAAAAACAATTCAATTTAAAGATGCTTTCTTATTGTTACCTTGAAGCCATCGAACTTGTGTAGCTGGTCCATATCCCTTTTCATTCTTTGCTGATATCCGGAACACAATAGCAGGCCTGGATGTATAATCAATATGTGCATTTGCAAGTTGCCCAGCAGTTACTATACATGATGTTTTAAGACCACAATAAATCCTCATAAACACAAGTTGACTTGGATTATCTTGTATCTGTGCTGTGCGGATAGCCAAGTAGGCTGAATATTCCAAAATATTTCCAGAAGGTGAAGTTGGAGGTTCCCAGGAAAGATGGATACCTTCAACATTCTTGAAGAGGGGGATAAAAAACAGAGAAAGATTCTTAAGTTTTCTCTATTATCGCTTATTATGTTGAGTCTATCTTTAGAACACAAAATGCTCATTTTCACTAAAGTAATTGCATTAGATGTTAGATCTTTTATTGTTGATTTTTTAAAACCTACCTTAATTGGATCTATAATTCATGCTCAGTTTTCAAAAACACAACTAGGCTTACATGTCTGCCTATAATATCCCAAAAAGGGGAACTTTTCCTCCCTAGGGGGACTTTTCCTCCCTAAAAGCAAATCTTTTCTTCTCTAAGGAGGGGCAAGACCTTAGGATAAAATACAATCCAATTTTATGCATTCTATTAAAATTCTCCAGCACAAACTTTCTGGTTCCATAACAAGAACAAATAAACAAGCATACCAGATTTCCCTGCCTTTCTGTGATTTGGATGCTGTAATTCTGCTTAAAATTTGGTACTCAAAAATATCATAAGTGATTAGCAAAAAATTTTTTTAAACTTTTAATCCATTCCTTTTAGATATCTCTCATTTCATTAGATGTTAACAAGAATTTCTAAACTGAAAGTTTACTT